TCTTCCTGCTGCAGCAGCAGCTGCTGCAGCAGCAGCACCGACTTGTTCCCCTCTACCTGCTGCTGGTGCTGCTGCTGCTTCTCCTGCTGCTGCTCCAACGGCCTCTGTCGCTGCCTGTCCTGCTGCTGCTGCTCGAGTCTGTGCTGCTGCTGCTGCAGCTGCTGCTGCTGATTAAATTTGAAGCCGGCTGCCCCAAAAATTTCCTCGTCAAGACTCTCTATGGGCATATGGGAGGAATCCGGCTCCTCTTCATCTGCTGCTGCTGCAGTGCTGCTGCTGCTGTTGCTGCTGCTGCTGCTGCTGCTGCTGCGGCAGGTGTATGGCAGCAGCGGATCATCAACGCACCTAAGCTCGGCAGCTCTAGCCGCCCTTTCTACGGAGTCAGCAGCAGCAAACCTTCGCTGCTGCTGCTGCTGCTGCTGCGCTGCAGTGAGCTCTCGGATTTGTCTGGCGTCAGCAGCAGCAAGCCGCTTGAGTCTCTTGACGTCTTCTTTCTCCCGCTGCAGCAGCAGCAGCGTGTTGGCTAGCAGCTGCTGCTGCTCCTCTTCTGCTGCTGCTGCTTGCTGCAGTTCTTCTTTGAGGAGCTGCTGCTGCTTCTTGGCCATGAGCAGCAAGTGCTCGCGCTGCTGTATCTCCTCGGCCGCCTGCTGCAGCTGCTGCTGCAGCAGCTCAATCTGCTGCTGCTGCTCCAGCAGCTGCTGCTCCTGCTGTACCAAAGCTTCTTGCTTCGTCTCCAGAGCAGCAGCAAGACGCTGGTTTTCTTCTCCCCAAGAGTCATAGCCCTGCAGCTGCTGCTGCAGCAGCTGCTGCCGCAGCGCGTCGCAGCTTTTGCACGTGCTCTGGCTGCTGCTGCTGCTGCTGCTGCTGCTGCTGCTGCTGCTGCCCTTGTCGCTGCTGCAGGTACTGCTGCTGCTGCTGCTGTGCAGCTCAGACGAGCTGCCGACAGCAGCAAAAAGACTAGAGCGTGCGAAACTCTCAGGGGGGCCCCCAGGGGGCCCCTCGGGGGGCCCCTCGGGGGGCCCCTCAGGGGGCCCCTCGGGGGGCCCCTCAGCGGGCCCCTCCGGGGGCCCCTGAGCTGCAGCAAAACGTGAGGTATGTGGGGCCCCCTTAGGGCCCCCCCCCTCCATTTCGAATTCTCCAAAAGGGTTCAAATCCAGAAAGGGGGCCCCCTCAAGGGGCCCCTGCTTCGGCTGCTTGCTGCTTCGCTGCTGCTGCTGCGGCAGCGCAGCAGCAGGGCCCCCAGGGGGGCCCCCAGGAGGGGCCCCAGGGGGGCCCCCAGGGGGGCCCCCCACAGTCTCGTACGGGGACTCTTCTACCTCAAGGTAAGAGCAGAGGCTATCTTCGAGCTCCTGCAGCAAATCTTCACCGGCAGCAGCAGTTGCTGCAGCAGCAGGTGCTGCAGCAGCAGGTGCTGCAGCAGCAGCAGCATCTGTCTTCTTTAGGCCCTGCCTGCTGCTTGGGGGGCCCCCCTGGCTGCCCTTAACCGTCTCTGTGGCCCACCGGTGGGGCCCCCGAGGGGCCCCCTCATCGTGCTGCTGCTGCTGCTGCTGCTGATGCAGCTGCTGCAGCTGTTGCTGCTCCTGTAGGTTCTTTGGCGGTCGGCCCCGGCGTCTCTTGGGCGGGAGCGCTTCAAGCTGCTGCTGCTGCTGCTGCTGCTGCTGCTGCGCCGTGCGGCCTCGCCTGCTGCTGCCCGTCGGTGCCGCCTCAGCAGCCCCTAGCTGCGGAAAGGCAGTTGCTGCTGCAGTTGGGCCTGAAGCAGCAGCAGCAGCAGCAGCAGGGTAAGCAGCAGGGGAGTAAACATCCTTTTGCTGCTGCCTGTGCTGCTGCTGGTGCTGGTGCTGCTGTTGCTTCTGCTGCTGCTTTCCCGAAGAGCCTTCACCAGCTGGTGCTGCTGCTGCTGCTGCTGGGGGCCCCTCCCCAGCAGCAACCTGTGATATGAATGTGAGCATCTGGTCCCAGCAAAGGGTCCCCATGGGCCCCTTCCCCCCTGCTGCTGCTGCTGCTGCTGCTGCTTTGGGGGGCCCCTCCAGGGGCCCCTCCAGGGGGGCCCCTAGGGGCCCCTCGAGGGGCCCCCTGGGGCCCAGCGAGTCCTCAGAAAGCACCGGAAGCTCTGAGGGGCCCCCAGGGGCCCCCCTGTGTACTAAGGCAGGGCACATTGCTCACCAGTGCTGCTGCTGCATCTGCTGCAACTGCTGTTGTAGCAGCTACTGCTGCTGCTGGTGCTGCTGGTGCTGCTGCTGTTGCTGCTGCTGCCTTACGGGTAGAAGCAAAGCTGCTCTGGAGGGGCCTGCGGGCCCTCTCCATCATTCCTGAGGAGCGTCTGCTGCTGCTGCTGTTGCTGCTGCTGCTGCTGCTGCTCCCGTAGCCGCTGCTGCGCCTCGCCGCCCTTAGTGCTGCAGCTACACTGCTGCTCGCAACGTCGGGCCAGTGGCCTTACTGCAGCAACAGCAGCAGCAGCAGCAGCAACAGCTGCAGCTGCAGCAGCAGCAGCAGGGGGGCCGGTCTGCCGGAGCCGCGTCACTCCTCGCCGAGGGTTTAGGGTTTCTTCTTTTAATTGCAGCAACTCATATGGATGACTAAAAATGATTACGAAAGAGGCCCCAGACCCGAGGGTTTATAGTCTAGGGTTTAGGGTTTAGGGTAGGGTTTAGGGTTCAGCGTTTAGGGTTTAGGGCGAAGGGTTTATGTTCTGACCGGTGGGGAGGAAACTACGGGGCCATCTTCTCTGCCCTTTCATTTCTCCGCACTCTTCAAAGATGAGAAGTTTTATTTAGGGTTTAGGGTTTAGGGTTTAGGGTTTAGGGTTAAGGGATTAGGGTTTGGTTGAGCGCCAGAGCCGCTGACCCAGACAGCCCCAACTACCCTGGCGCATGCTGTCAAGCATTAAGCTTTAGGGTTTAGGGTTTAGTGTTTAGGGTTTAGAGTTTAGGGTTTGTAGAGACTTTCGGCGCTTTGCGGGGAACCAAATTCCCAAGAAAGCAATTAGGGTTTAGGGTCGCCTTTCTGCCCCCTGTCTGGAAAAGCAGCAGCTGCAGCAGCAGCTGCAAAAGGAGCTGCAGCAGTGACAGCAGCAGCTGCAGCAGCAACAGCAACAGTAGCAGCAGCAGCCGTACCGCTAGCAGCAGCAGCAACCGCAGCGGCAGAAATAGTAGCAGCAGCAGCAGCAACAGCAAAAGTAGCAGCAGCAACAGTATTAGCAGCAAAAGTCGCAGCAGCAACAGTAGCAGCAACAGCAGCAGCAGCAACAGCAGCAGCAGAGGAGTGACCTTGATGAGGCTCTCCTGCCCCCTCCTGGACCGCTGGAAGTCCAGCTGGACGTACAAGTCCGCCCAAACCCTAAACCCTAAACCCTAAACCCTCGGCAGCCGCTGCGTGGCCCCCAAACACGGGACTCTGGCTGAGGAGGCCGCGAGTCGTAACCCTTTGCTGCTGCTGCTGCTGCTGCTGCTGCTCCCCCTCATCACGAAGGGCCCCCAGGGTTTCGGACCCAGGGTTTAGGGTTTAGGGTTTAGGGTTTGTGCTGCAGGCTGCAGAAGTACCGCGGGGGCCCCCGCTGGAGCCTCCCCCGCTTTATGGTCCAGGGGCCCTTTAGGGGCCCCAAATTTAGGAGGCCCCCAACCCTAACAAAGTGGGGCCTCCCGCAGCAAACTCGCCCCAGCAGCAGCAGCAGCAGCAGCAGCAGCAGCACAAGCAGCAGCAGCAGCAGCAGCAAGTTCTGCGACATGCTCAAGCTGCATGAAGTCAGCGGCAAATATAAAGCCGTCAGCAGCCCACACTCCAACAGGGCGGGCCTCGGGCCCGCACCCTAAACCCTAAACCCTCAGGGTTTAGGGTTTAGGGTTTGCGGCGCCTTAGGGGTAGCCCTAAACCCTAAACCTCTTTATCATTTTTGCGTCTCTCCCAACTACAGAACCTCCTAGCTGCTGCGCGCCTCGACTACCCCTGCTGCCCCACCAAACCCTAAACCCTAAACCCTAATCTGTAAACCCTAAACCCTAGTCTGTCGCGCAGCCCCAAAACAGCGTCTAATACTTCAGAGTCTTTGGCGCCATAACGAGAGCGGTGAGGGGGCCCCAAGGGGCCCCCGACCCCTTGGGCTAGGGGCCCCGG